CTCCTTCCCTCTATCACTATATTGTAATTAAAGATTAGGAACCAGCATGCAAATTTTTTACTGTGCCTGATTCTGATTACCTTTGCTTCCCTTGCATAGCTGAGTGATCTGGTAGCCCTTGTGCGAGGAAAGCTGTCTAAGATGCAGCGAGCAGTGCTGTCAGCTCTCATTGTGATCGAAGTCCATGCCAAGGATGTTGCAGCTAAGCTGATTGAAGAGAATGTGATGAGTGTGAATGATTTTGAGTGGATCTCCCAGCTCAGGTAAGTAAAATTAACCATAAACATGGTTTGGATTCACTGGCCACTATCCATTATCATTACTGATTGGCAGTGTTAGTGATGAGAGGTTGTCAGTGTCAGTGATGAGGAGTGTATTTGGTTAGTATGTCTATATAGTTGCTTGTCTGCATCATAGTATTTAAGGCTTTTAAAGCCAAGTGTTTTGAACATTGTGAAGAGGAGTGTTATAATCTATTGTGTTGTTCTGATTGTCGGGACTGTAACACGATTGATGTTTGTCGTCTGAAGACCGTCATCAAGGTAGAGCTAAGTTTTGAGCACTTGTTTGAATTTCACTGAGAACTCTGTAACCCTCACTACTAAAAGTTAAGCCCAAGGAGGAGACAAAATGCATGATATTATCACCAAACATTGGTCCAGTGTGAGTCCCAAACATTGCACAGTGTTTCCTGCTTATAATTTGTTTCACTGAACTCAGTAAGGTCAGAATTTTCTTCAGCTCTCTCTGACTCATTCCTGTGGTGATGCATGGACCTGAGGAGCCTGGAGTGATATGAAAAAGATTGTAGCCTTTTTGTTCATCTCTTTTTTACCCCCGCCAGTACATGTTTGTCTTTAAGATCCTGTTTTCACTCACCATTAGATACTACTGGACAAGGGGTGACCTGTACATCCGAGCAGTGAATGCTGAATTTATCTATGGCTATGAGTATCTGGGAAACAGTGGTCGTCTGGTGATCACACCCCTGACTGACAGGTAAAAAGATTTTGTTCTTTGAATAATAACTAGCTTTGTACAATTGTCTGGCTCTCCATTTGGGAATCTTAAAACAAGGGCCTAACTCTGCCAACCTTACTCAGATAAATAGTATTTCATTACACAAGTAATTCTCAGACTATTTCTATAGTAAAGCACTACTCAAGATGGGGAATGAGGTAAATGAGGGGCCCTTTGTGATACACGTTCTAAAAGATTTCTAGCAATTTGTGTCCCCACCAACCAGATAAACTATATCTAGTGAACTACTCTGAGGCATATAAGCTGTCTGTCTCAGTAACAAAGGGACTGTCCTATTCCTGGTGATTGATTGCACACTGTTAGATGAGTAAACCAATACCTTGGAAGATGAATGTTTCATAGAAACTGTAATAATGCTTAGCTCTCAGAGGAACCATCTTCCTTAGCCAGAATGAATTTGCAGCAGGATGCATATAGATGTAATAGGGGAACATAAGACTGGAAGGAACCACCTGATCCACTAACACACAGCCCCTGGCAATTACCAGCAAGCACTTAGTAGCTGTCAAGTCCAAAAGGGCCCGTGAGAATGTCTGCTGTTCCCCATTCACATACTACAGCCTTAAAGACTGCCTAACACCATGCAACAAACTAGCATCTTTAACACAAAAAATCTGAAGGTCTCAGAAACTACAACCTGATATGGAAGAGAGCAGTAGAGACTAGGCCTATGTAAAGTGGCTAGTATTAACTTTGGATTCAGATTTGGCCAATTTGGGGGACAGTGATTCGATTTAGTGATTCAAATCACTGTCCCGGATCGATTCGGCCGAATCTGATTTGGAGATTCAGCCACTGCCTAACTGGCCAAATCTCCAAGTTGCCCCATCCCCCGCCTGCTCTCCCAGCCCCGTCAATGGCTGCCCTGCCCGGCCTCAGCTCCCAGCTCTTTGAAAAAAAAAGCCTGGCATTCACCAGCTGCTGCCAGACGGGGGTGTGGGGCAATCCCCACTGCTCCACACTGCGTGAGGGGCTCTGTTACAAGCCCCCATCCCCTGCCCACTCTCACAGCCCTAGCTCCTGGCTCTTTAAAAAAAAAGAGCCCCCATTCACCCGCTCCTGCCACTCAGGGGGCGCAATCCCT